ACATGGTATAGTTCATATGATACCAATTCTTTCGAATTTCTTGACATTTGCTTTTTAAATTCACTTTAAAATGTCAAGTGTTTTTTAAAAATTCAAAAATTTGACATGTGAATTTGAAAAAAAATTAGTAGACTTTTTCAAATGTTGTTGCAGGGTTCTTTATGCACCTAATAGATAAAGTTATTAATTATAATAATGTTCAATGCTTACACATCTGTTCTTATGCTTTTGAATTTATTGAATATCAGTTTATTCCATTTTTTCTCCTTTGCAAGCCTTTAATCATTTATATTGCATTTCTTGTGTTTCTATGTATACCCGTGACATTTGAGTAAGCATTTGTAGTAAAGCTTAAAGTTAGTATTTTTTGTCATCCTCCTGAACAAAGACCTTAGAATTCTTGAACTATATCAACATCTCTCAGAGATTACATAAAAATATTCACTCTTTTAGCTCTTTTAGTTTTAACAAACAGGTAAAAATTTTTATTTCTTTTTGACATTACTGTTTGTGTACATTATCCTGTTAATCACAGGTTTATATTTTTCTTTTAACCTTCTTTTTCACATCTTAGAACTTTTTGATGAAATAATTTTCTTTTTTACTAAAGTATATTCTTTAGATATTTCTTTTGTGAGAATATATTGGTGATAAAATTTCTCTTTTTTTGTTTATCTAAAAATTCTTAAATTTCTCCCTTATAAATAAAAGTAGTTTTTTTAGGCATAAAATACTAGTTTGGAAAACATTTTCTTATGTCATGTTTGTTATTGCTGTTATGGTCTAATTGTCCTTTTGTTTGCCTTTATTTTCTACTTACTTTTAAGATTTTTTTCTTGGTCTTTGTTGCTCTGAAATTTTATTAAGATGTGCCTAGGTATGGGTTTATCTTGATTGAAATTTTTTATGATTCTTAAATGTGTCATTCCTGAATGGCTTTGTGTCTGTTATCAGTAACAGAAAATTCTTAGCCATTATGTATTCATATAATGAATTCTTCTTTTATTTTAATTCTCCTCTTAGGACTTCCATTATGTTACATCTTCTCATACTTGCTTTATTTCTCAAAATTGTTTTTATATTTCATATTTTTGCCCATGCTATTTTATTTGTAATTGTTTCAGGTCTTCCATTTCACTATTTCTCTCTTTAGTTCTATGTAACCTGCTATTTAAGGTCTCTATTTTGTTTTAATTTCAACCATTTTGTTTCCAGTAATGGTATAATATTTCCCTTCAGTTATGCCCTATCATTTTTTATTATCTCTCATTCATACTTCATACTTTAATCCCTCTTTTATTTCTCTAATACCACTAAACATTCTTATGTTGTAGATCTGAAAACTTTGGAACTATATATGTTCTTTCCCTCTCACTCTTTAGCAAATTCTTCTTTGTTTTCTTACTTGTTATTTTTCTTATCATGAGTTCATGTTTCTTGGACTTTGTGGGAAATCTTTGATGACCAGCTTGATGTGTGGCCTCTCAGAAAGAATTTCAGTTTGTTTCTATTAAGAGCCTGGGCTAGCAACTTGGGTCCACTTTAAATTGAATTTTTGGCTTGCAGTGTTTTATACTACGCTAAATGTAAGCTATAAATCCAGGTGAGTTTCAGGCTTATGGTTAAGAATTTTAAGAACGACCTTGTTTTCCATAAACCCTTGCTGCCTTTGCATGATTGATTTTTAAAAATGCTGTCATTGAGTTGGGTAGGAATGTGCCTGTAGTCCCAGCTACTTGGGAGGCTGAGGTAGGAGGATCTTTTGAGGCCAAGAGTTCAAGTGTAGCCTGGGCACGATAGCAAGACCCTGTCTCTAAAAAAAAACAAAAACAAAAAACAGAAAAACAAAAAAAAGAAAAAAAAATCCCCAGCTTTTGTCAAGGTTTTAATCTCTTGTAGCTCCTGAATTAATGCAGGATCTCTAGCTCATATGTGATGTCAAATTTTTGTCTTCTATTCCCTGTATGCAGGCAATCAAAGGCAACGGAGGTCACTGAGATTACTAGAAGCCTATACAGCAACCTCTGACTTCTGTGCTTACCTTTCATCAGCCCCAGAGAAATTCCTTTGTTTTCTCATGGGTTGAACCATGTGTTAAAATGGTCATTTAAAAATATTTTCTTGGCCGGGCATGGTGGCTCAAGCCTGTAATCAATCCTAGCACTCTGGAAGGCCGAGGTGGGTGGCTCCTTTGAGCTCAGGAGTTCGAGACCAGCCTGGGCAAGAGCGAGACCCCCGTCCCTACTAAAAATAGAAAGAAATTAGCTGGACATGTAAAAATATCTAGAAAAAAAAATTAGCTGGGCATGGTGGTACATGCCTGTAGTCCCTACTTGGGAGGCTGAGACAGGAGGATCGCTTGAACCCAGGAGTTTGAGGTTGCTGTGAGCTAGGCTGATGCCATGGCACTCTAGCCCAGACAACAGAGTGAGAGTCTATCTCAAAAAACAAAAAAATTTTTTTTTCTTCTCTGTTTTTAGATATTTTATGATAGGAAGGTTTTAAGACAGTTGTTTCTTTATATGTTAAAAAAAGACATTTATCAAACAGAATCCTAAAGTTATCAGTGTATTTCTAGCATACCTGTGAATTATTAAAGTGAAGAATATCTAGATGATTAAGGTAGGAAAAGAAAACCTGACTATGTTTTTATGTATGCAACATAATTCTAATTGAGGACAACTAAATAAAACTATTCTTTTACTGAGACAATTAATTGAAATGACTTTTTTTGTTGTAGTCATTTCTGTTAGGTAATAGACATTACTTGTAAACTACAGTTATAAGGTATAGTTATTTCCAAGATATTTGTATGTCTTTCAACTGATATACAAAAGGTGGATTATAGGAATATAGATGTGAATAAATTTGAGAGTTATCCTCACTAAGGACTGAAACTAATTATTAGCATTTTTGCTTGATTCTTAAATATTTGTATGTGTTTCTACAAGAGTTAATTCTACAAGCAATGTATCTGAATACTGACAGTCACATACTCTGCTAGTCATAAAGGAAAGAGGACTAATGAAATGAATGAAATGTTTCCCATACCTTGGATGCACTATAATCTATCAGAGAAGATAAATGCAAAGGAGGTAATTATAACACAGTATAATAAACACCATCATAGAAGCACAATAGGAACACTGAGAAGAAATGATGTATTCTACTTGGGGAAATCTGAGGAAGCTTCCTAAAGGATAATGACGTTTGATCCACTTCTTGAAAGATGAGCAATGATTTGCCAGGGGAAAAAGGAGAGGGAAGAACATTCTAGGGAAAAAGGAGAGGGAAGAACATTCTAGGCAAAAAGTGTAGCATGTCCAAAGACAATAGAGGTATCAAAACATTGTGTAATTGGAGATGTGATTTAGGGAGTGAGAAGGCATGAGTTGTGAAGTGATGGTCAATAACAGAAGATATTAGTGGGATATATAAGGAGTATTTTTCTTATGGCATTTTTTTTCTCCCACAATAAGAAGGGGAAATTGATTCTTGTGCAATGAAGTGCCATCAGGTTTAGAAGGTTTCGGATATTGACTTCAGTATGTTAACTGGCAGAATTATGCGGGAGGACAGAAAAATTCTGGAGAGAAGAGGTGAAAAGAGAAACATTACAGACAAAAGGACCCATGGAAGTCAGTAATTATGCAAGTTTGGATGCATCAAATCATTATTTTCTCTGCAGTGCAATTAAATGTTATAGAGGTTATGAGATAAAAGAATGATATACATCTTTTATTCTTCTGTAATATATACTTACTCTAGAGAATATAAGACTTAGGTTCAACTTCTTGAAGTATTTTGGCAAATGTTATTAATGACAAAGGCATCAGTACACTTGTGGTTCAAGACTATTTTACAAATGAATAGTGATTTCTTGGTTTTAATATCATCTGTTACATATCAGATATTATCTTTTAGAAATCTGTAACGTCATAAAGAAAAAATAATAGCTACCCTTTCAATTATGTAAATCATCCTTCTACTTTGTGGTATAAAATATTTGGGGCTAAGATGACTTTTTTCTTAATGGGGCTAACATCAATACTAAATGTGTTTCTACTTAATGTTATCTGAGGAAGGTTTTAAAATATTGACAGTACACATTTTTCTCATTAAGTATTGCCCATATAGAGGAAATTGTTCACTTTGAATAGCCAATTTAATTTGGAATATAAAATATTAGAATTAAAGGTATACCAGAGACAACATCCCCAATTTAACATCCCTATTTAATAGAGGAGGAACTGAGGGTCCAGAATTTGATTTGCTTGAATTACATAGGATAATTGGTCCAGTTCTTTTTCCATTTTCCATTTCCACAAGAATGGTCAACATGGGCTTTCTTTATGATTACTACTAAGTGGTTAGAAATACATACAAGTGGTTGTAATATTATTTTATCATATCATAATTATTTGAAAATTAGCAAGATACATACATGTATATAGCCGTTATCTTTTGGCTACAATATTTAAAAGCCAGAATATCCATTTTTCTCTCCATATAAATGTTTTCTCTTTACTAAAGAGCAGCTATTTAGTATCACTTGATTGGTGAATTTGAGTTTCTTTAATTCCATATTATTGTTTGTTCTATGGCCAACATGATTGATTCTACCATTTTTTTTTTTCAAAACAGAATTCTATCATAGTGTTTAATAATGAGATATTTTTCTTATGGAAGCAGTTATTCCAAAAATCTATCAGATTTTATTAGCAACTATATATTCTGAACAGTATTTTCAAAATATCCCTTAGGTAGGTAGGTATATTTTTAAAAGTATTTCTTTTTTCAACTGAAGTCTCTTCTGACTATTTTGGAAGATAATAATTTAGATATAATGCATACCAATTAATAGATAACTTGGCTAATGATTATGTAATAAGATGCATTAAAAGGCTAAGGATTTTGCAAAGCAATACTTGGCTTCTTTGTGATGTCATTGAAATCTGTAAATTAACTTGAGCAGTAAGAAGCCAATGAATTCCAATTGGTCACCTTACGTAATTTATTTTGGGGAAATTATGAAATACATATTTAGACCCAAGTTGGCTTTAAAATAATGCATTACAACTGGAGTTTTCCACAGAGAATAAAAGTTTGATTTTTGACTTCACATAAATCCCAGGGGCTCTGAACAAAAGTTAATATAAATTCTCAATCACTGTATGATAAATACCTTATGTATAAATAGGAGTTCCATAGCATGCATTTAAGTAACAAAGAATGTAATATTTATTAGCCACCTAGAAATTAGGAGATAACATCAATTATTGAGAGAAATTGAGATTTGAATGCTTATAGCCAAAGGAATTAATTGGAATTAACAGCCATTGTAGGTAGTTACTACTATTATTATCAAGTCTGAAAGTTGGAACAGATAGCCTTGATTCTTTGCATACACAAAAGTTCACAAAAACAGCTCTTAGTTAGCCTTTATTCTGTAGTTGTAGTATTGCTTGGTGGATCAAACATTGGATTGTTATAAAATTCCTGTGAACTTTTATGAATACAAGTGTCAGATGAAGTACAGTTTTTTATTTATGTATATTTTAAACCACCAAAAAAAGAGGCCAATAAATGAAATACAATAAAAAAATGAAATATTTATTCTTTTGGCTCAATAATGACGTAGCTCATCATTCTTTTTAGTAATAGCAATTCCCTGCATGCAGTTCATCAGTACACTACAGTAAATAGTTTTGTAAAAGGAATTAACATTAAACTTTTGGTTTGTGCAAAAAACAAAAATTTTTATCATGTTAGGTAATTGCACAACTTTGCCACTTGGTTCATGGCTAAAAAGAACAGAGCCCATGTTTTATCTGTAGTAGCTTTAGTGCAGTAGGAATTAAAAAAATAAGACTAGTCTGCATACGTAAATACTATAAAAGTTGAATAAAAAAAACTTTCATGAATAAAGGGTTATATTGAGGCAACCAGAGTTGGTAGAAAATCATCTAGGTTTGAGTTTTTGACCAATGCATCACCTATTAAAATGGTAGAAAATAATATTGTAACAAAGAAATCCACAAAATCCATTGTCTAACTTTTATTTTAGGAAATTACCCATTGAAAAGTCTTATGGATTCAAAAGTTTGGAATTGTGATTAAAAATAAAAAGCAAAAGCATAAAGTAAAATAAGTTGCCTTGTGATCAACCTGAAAATAATTTTCTTATGTACAAAATGCTGACAAATAAAATTGATCATATTTTTACATTATTTATATTTAAACAAGTTTTAGACATATTTTTAGCAAAAAATGAAGTGTAGGTTTTGACAGTAGGCAGTATGCAGTGTGTTTCCTTGAAATCTAGAGAGATACCATGTGATACTCAAGTTGAATTAAAAATGCAAAAGTAAAGGTGATTTTAAATAACTTCAAACTGTTCTGTTTGACATAATGGACAGAGAGCTGAAATTCATTCTACCACCAATATGTGACTTTTTCTAACCAAGACTTGTGAAGAATGAATTGAGTAAAATAGAGCAGCATAGGCAATATTAACATGCATTAGTGATAGCCTTCAAACTATTTATGTTTAATGAATGGTACAGAATATACCCCTGTTGGAAGCTCGCAAAAGACACATACACTGTGGTACATATTTGATTGAATAGAAGTTGTTTATTCAGCTTAATATATATTATATATATATATATATTTGCCCAAACATGCACCACAGGATAAAATAACTATTTACATACCAGAGGGTATTTAATTGACGTAAACTGTCAGCTTTGCTGAGAGCAGAAGACTGCAAAGCAATACTGCAGCAGAAAGTGGAACAACTATTCTAAAGCGATACTTTAGATATACTTTTCTAGAACAGATTTATTAGATTACATTTTTGGAAAGCATTTAACCAAAATTAAATATAGAGCTCTGGAACTTAGAATAAAATTTGCACTTGCTGAAACAGAATACTTTGCATAAAAATAATCCTTTAAATATCAGAAGAGACTTTACAGGCACATAACTGTTCAGATATAAACAAACATAACAGACTAAACACTTTCAAAATTAAAGTCATCTAGAAAATGGAAGTAATTGAAATTATAGACATTAGAATTTTTTTTCTGGTTTTGAGCAAAAATTTTATCTCTCAGGCAAAACACTTTTGTCTGATCGTTTGAGAGATTTGTGGAGTAGGAACACAGGGTTCTTATATACTTCTTCCTCAACGTAAACCTCATTTACAAAAATAGTAACACAGTATTATGAATAAACTATGAATCAGGGACCATGGAAATCCACTAGAACAAATTTTGTAAAAATATGGCAGATATGGAAGTTAAAAATAGAGTGGATGCAAGTACTGTACTAAAGATGTTTGGTGTAGTTACAGTGACCACTTTGTACAACTATCCCTATAGTCTAGGTAGCCATTAAGTTTCTTCTCAGCAGTGTCAGCTGGTAATAAAAACAGCAACCTCTTGTCAATGTTGATACCCTGTCTCACAGAGCTGCAGTGACAGTGAGGTCACTGTCTTGTATAGGCACTGACCATGAGTATTTGTTAAAACAGTCAGTTTGGCATGGACCTCCTCGTGAAGCCCAGTTGACACATATACTTTACCTTCATAGGGTGTAAACAATTGATCATAAAGACAATTCTTTGTTTCTTTTTACTTTTGATTTTCTCTGACCTCTTTCCCTTTGCTTTCTTTTTCTGGTTTGTCTTTCTCAAATTTTTCTTTGTCTGGTTTTGTTACACTATCATAGGAAGGAGGAGAAGTGGTAGAGGAGCTTCCATCTGTTTTTTCTGGGGTGGAGTTACTGTTTAATTTGTCGATAATCATGTCTGCTTTAATAGGTAAGTCAATCCTCCCTCTGATTGTCTCCTTATCATATTTATTTATTAGCTTTTTTAACCTTCGCCTTAAAAGATAACTTCTGTAATTACGCTGAATGATAGCAGCAGATACTTCTTCTTGTTTACGTTTCAAAGTGGTTGTGATGGGCTCATAAGAGACTTTGGAGGGGTTCGATGCCATGAACCGGTCTTCCATCTGTATTCGAAGGGCATCCATCTCTCCACTCTCACCCAAAACACGCTTTGTAAAGGCAAATAAAATATCGAGGCAGTGGATCCGGTCGCCACTGACCATGGGCAGATCCATGGCAATGAGCTGAACTTTGTTTGGTTTTGCTATGAGAAGAGGAGGATCCAGGGCAGCTGCAAAATCTGAGAGCTTGGAGAACTCTATAAACTGGGTCGCATCAGGATCAAACTTCTCCCAAACCTCGTAGAACATCTCAAAGTCATCCTCACTCAGGGGCTCTGCACTTTCTTCAGTAGCAACACTGAAGTTCTCCAGGATGACCGCAATGTACATGTTCACCACAACCAGAAAGGATATGATGATGTAACTGACAAAAAAGAAAATCCCAACAGATGGGTTCCCACAGTCTCCCTTGACTGAGCTTCCAGGGTGAATTGTGTCAGGGTCACAGTCTGGAGGTCCACTATTGAGAATAGGTGCCAGCAATCCATCCCAGCCAGCAGAGGTGGTGATTTGGAACAGGCAGATCATGCTGTTGCCAAAGGTCTCAAAGTTGAACATATCATCAATTCCAGCTTCCTTTTTAACATAGGCAAAGTTGGACATCCCAAAGATGGCATAGATGAACATGACCAGGAAGAGCAGGAGGCCGATGTTAAACAACGCAGGAAGGGACATCATCAGAGCGAAGAGCAGCGTGCGGATCCCCTTTGCTCCTTTGATCAGACGTAGGATGCGGCCAATCCTGGCAAGACGGATCACACGGAACAGGGTCGGGGACACAAAATACTTTTCTATCATCTCAGCCAGAAACATACCTGTGGAAAATGTAGAACACAGCTAAACTGTGAATATCTTGCACATATATGAATGCTTTATCTTTGCAAGGTCTGTGAAAACAACAAATTTGCTTTGAATACAAACCTTTACTAAATATTTGGGTCCATTCCCTGATATTAGCAATTAAAGATTACAGAGTTTGATTTAATGATTCTAGAATGTCATCAACCAGTATGGATTTTTGTAAAATCCAGATAATCTCAGATAGGAGCATGGCAATTTAAAATTATATACACTCAATTATTATGAATAGTTATCCCCAAATTTGTTTGTAATTTTGGAAATTGCAGTAAAGATTATTTCTGAAATTTCTGAATATATTTTTTCTATTTTTAATAATGATATTCTTCAGTTAAAGGAAAATGGACAATATTTAACATGAAGGCAAAGTGAAAATTTCTAAATTTGGGTCCTATAATTCCTATCTTCCTTCTTCTCTTATTAAATCTCAACTTTTCTCAAAATACCTATCTAAGATGTCAACATTGTGGCCTCTGGAAGCCTATATTCACTCCTTCAAGCAGAAGTTCACGTTCTCTTCAGTGTTTCTTATAGTATCAACCTTATTGCATTATACTGATTATTTTTAGCTATCTGTCTCCTCCTTTAGCCTGTGACTTTAAGAGAGTGTCTGATGATGTTTGTTTCCTGTCTTCTTCTCCCATTCCCCAAACCCAGTATTTCTAGACTGGTTTCTAACTAGTAGCTTTGTCAATAAATCCAGGTTTCAGAGTTTTTATTCAAATATGTTAGTATTGAACTTCAGATCTATATGTATTATTATTCTCAGGCCTAATTTCCACGTTTAGAAGGCAGCAGGTCTTGGGGGAATCATTTCCCTACAACTGCACCTCTCTGTAACTAAACCATTCTTACCTACAATGGAGAGAATCACCACCACAAAATCAAAGATGTTCCAGCCTATAGTGAAGTAGTAGTATCTGAGAGAGATAAGCTTTAGCACAAATTCTCCAGTGAACAGGACTATGAACACGAGGTTGATCCGGTATAAAACTAGAGTCATATATTTGCCCTGGTCATCGGTTTCCACCATCATGGTGACCATGTTGAGACAGATGAGAATCATGATGCTGATATCAAAGACTTGTCTGGTTACAAAATCAAAGACCATTCCTTGGAATTTGTTCTAGGAAGGGAGAGGGGAGAGAGATGGTTAATATATGTATGTATTTCATAAATAATGATTCAGTAAAATTGCAGATAAGGTTCTTCCACATATGGCCATGAATGTGTATGGTCAGACAATTTTGTGTCCTCTGTTTTTCATGTTAAAAGAAATGAGAAATAAATCATATGACAAGAGTAAAGCATGCATATTTGGTTTGTTTAGGTCCCATGGGAAGACAAAGCTTAATAACACATAAATTGGGGCAATTGGCTGATAATACAATATGTATAGGCTTTGCTTGATTTTAATAAGTGTGATAATTTTTATAAAAAATGACAGCTAGTAATATTTACAAAGTAGATTAACATAGACGTTTAGATAGATGAATACTCCAACTAATTATTCAATATTTTAAAAATTTTGGTTTATATCTTATTTCTCTCCTTCAAAATATCTCAGTCACTTTTCTACTGAATTTTACTTCTCCAGCTCTGTGAGTGTATGTATGTATCTTTCTTTTCATCTGTTTTTCTTTACCTCTGCTTTAACAAAAATGCATGACCTAGAAAAATTTTTATCTTAATTAACAACCATCTCAAGAACCATATATTTTAAAGATTCTTACATTAATATGGCTGTTAAATACAGTTTTATTAGAGAAATAAAATTTTAATCATTTAGAGTAAAATGTAAATGAACTGATGGTGTTTTCATGTTTAAATGACCCTCAGTAAAAGTGGTTCATTCCTTTCTGTGTACTGGACGCTACCTCCCTAACCTCTCTCCCTGCCACCTCCCAGCTTCAACTATCTTAAAATATGGTAAATGAAGTCAGTTATAGGATTCATGAAACCTTGTCAAGCCCCAGTTCTGGCAACTATGGGCTTTGTGACTTGGAGCATGATACTTATCTTCTTTGGGCCTCAGTTTCCTTACTCCTTACCTATCTCAGAAGATAGAGGAGTGAGAGTACAACTCTCCATGAACATAGTCATTATTATGCCATTCTGTTATTATGAAACCCTACAGAATATGCATTTGGTGAAAGAATAAACAATTTGGTGACACGCTTTTCCATTCTGGACAGATTAGGAATATTGTCTGGTCTTAAGAATGGAGAAAACAAGGAGCATAGAGGGAGGCCAGGAGGATGAGATGTGAAGCCAGAGGAGAAACCAGGTGTGTTGTTGGCTGCAGCAGGGTGAACCTTGCTTTGAAAGCACTTACTGGGAACCCTGAGTTGGAAGTTTTCAACTCACAAACTGTAAAGATCATTACCTCCTTTTTAAGAACTGGTAATTCTTAATCAGTGTAGAAGTTGTGAACTGTGCTATTCAATATGAACTTTATAATTAGAGCTATATATTGGTGACATCACCTAATATGTTCTGATCCAGAGCATTGCCCAATTTGATCATATGGTAATATGGTTTTGAACATTAAAAAAGATAAGTAATTCTTACTGCTGGCCGAGGGATGGGTTTCTGAGGTTTCTTGGATCCAAGTTTCTTCATTGCATTGTAATATTTTTTCTGTTCCTCTGTCATAAAAATGTCTTGACCTCCGAAGTAAAGATATAGTATAAAACTGGTTACAATCCCATACAGTTCCAACATGTGTTACAATAGCATTTTTATAAAAAATATTTGTCCTTCCTTTAATCTTTCTCAAATTTTTAAGTGGATATTATTATACTTCATAAGATTTATTCTGCTCTTCACATTTCTGTGAAATTCTTTGAAAAAAAATTTTTTTTTTTTTTTTTCTGAGACAGAGTGTCACTTTGTTGCCCAGGCTAGAGTGAGTGCCGTGGCGTCAGCCTAGCTCACAGCAACCTAGATCTCCGGGGCTAAAGCAATCCTGCTGCCTCAGCCTCCCGAGTAGCTGGGACTAGAGGCATGTGCCACCATGCCCGGCTAATTTTTTCTATATATATTAGTTGGCCAATTAATTTCTTTCTATTTATAGTAGAGATGGGGTCTTGCTCTTGCTCAGGCTGGTTTCAAACTCCTGACCTTGAGCAATCTGCCTGCCTTGGCCACTAGCCCGGCTGAAAAAAATTTTTTTTAAGTGAGACTGGGTCTCACTTTGTTGCCTAGGCTGAAGTGCAGTTACATGATTATAGCTCACTGCAGCCTCAAATTCCTGGGCTTCAGCGATCCTCCTGCTTCAGCCTCCTGAGTAGCTGAAACCTCAGGCATGCATCACCATGCCTGGCTAACTGTCTTCAGTTTTTTTAAGAGACAAAGTCTCGCCATGTTGCCCAGGCTGATCTCGACCTCCTGGCCTCAGCAATCCTTGGGAGGCTTCAGTCTCCCAAAGAGCTGGGATTATAGGTGTGAGCTGCTGTGCCCACCTAAATTCTTTGAAATTCTGAATTCTTTAATACTAATGAAAAATTCATAAGCACATAAAAGTCTGAATACTACAGGATTCTAATTTGATTATACCATGTTTAGAAGTGGGCACAAGGATCTCAAATACACTTTCGTAAAACAAAAAATTTTTTCTTAGTTCAGTTCACTGTTGATAGTTTTACTTCTTCATTTAACAGTTTTTGAACATTTTTCTGTGTGCTAGACAATGTGTTGGCTATTAGAATTACATAGATATGTAAGATACAGTATCTTGCTCCTAAATGGAGCAAGAAACTGAAAACATAGGTGGAGAGTGTATAGTGATGTGCGAAAAAAATAAAATGCACACAGAGGCAACAATTAATTCAGAGACACAGAGACAGGCTTTACATAGGAGGGTACCCTTAAGCTAGGCCTCAAAATATGATTGGGGGTGGGTATATACATATATAATGAGTGAGATGTGTACCATCTGGGGGATGGTCATGCTGGAGACTCAGACTTGTGGGGGGAGGGAGGGAATGGGCATTTATTGAAACCTTAAAATCTGTACCCCCATAATATGCCGAAAAAAAAATAGCTACATAAAAGAAAAAAAAAAAGATGATTACGGGTTTGCTAGGCAAAGCATTCCAGGAAGAGAAAATATCACATAAAGTCCTGGAGGCACAAGAAAATGACTTGTTCAGAAAAGGGGAGAAAACTCATAGAGCTGTATGCCTAGCAAGTGACAGTGGTGACAGTGGGTGGGTGGGTAGTGACTGGGGAGTAGGGAGGTAGATACATAGGATGAAGTGTGGGGGAAGATGAAGTTGGAAAACTGGGTGGAGGTAATTCCTGCAAGGCTCTGTAAAATAGGCTAAAGCACTGGAGACCAATTGGGTAGGTCTGAAGCAGTGGTCACAATTTTGCCTCAGAAAGACAGTCTACAGCTCTTTAGTGGATAAATCTGGAGAGGGGCCACTGACTAAATGCTCAAATCCTTATAGCTAAACTAACCACGCAGTAAAGTGAAAATAATAGAAACACGATCTAAGTCTGTCATGACCACAGGTATCCTGGTTATTTTGTTGCATAACAGTCAGAACCTCAGAATGGAAAAGGAAAAAGCTGAGGAATACTTATCTTCTTTTTCTGCTGGTTGAAGTTATCTATGATGACACCAATGAATAGATTCAGAGTGAAGAATGAACCAAAGATGATAAAGATGACAAAATATAAATACATGTACAGATTTTCTTCATATTCAGGCTGAAGTTTAACCTAAATGATATTGAAAATATTAAATATATTAAAAAACACAATGAATACTTAAACTAAATTAATAATGTGGTGAGTGCTATTACTTAACATAGTTCTACTTTTGCCTTTCCCTGAGGTATTATTATGCAAAAACTATTCTTTTGTTCAAACTAGCATGATCTAAAATAATGAAAGTTTGCAAGTTTTATGATTGTTCTTGAATCTATTTTCCCATTGTGTCTTACTTGTAACGTATTCTTTAACATCAATAACAGTGAAATAAACAGGGTATTTTGAGCCTATTATTAGTCTTGTTATTATAATTTTTTTTCAATATTTTCCATTTGGTTTTGGAAATGCTAACTTTTGGAAATAATGGCTTTAATATAGCAGGACATCAATAACTAAGAGAATAAACAGATATGCTCTGAAGAATCATTTTTATTTCTATTTTCAAAATTGAGTTTACCTGAAACTTGCTTGCTTTTCTGTATCATAATATTAAAATATTTTTGGTAGCTCCTTCATAGACTCTGGTTTATCATACACTACAGGGATAGGGAGAGACAAGTAACTGTCCCACTGCGAAAATTTCTCACTCTGAACAGTCTTATTTAATGGACCAATTTGATGTGTCATGATCCATGCAGTTAGATATGCTTTCATATTAGATAAATATTATATATTAGACATATATTAACCAAAACATCTATATTGAAGCACACTGGCATAAAAAGATCATTTTTATATGCAATAGCACATGTTTCAATTTTATCTGATATAAAATTCTGAACGTTTCAGTTAAATTATCAACAATGTTTACCATGAAAAATCTAGTAGCTATAAATAATATTTGAGTGATACTTACATCTCGTGAATCAACAGCTGCATACATAATATCCATCCAGCCTTTAAATGTGGCCTGTAAACAGTATATATTTGAATTGTGCATAAAAGCCACATGCAAGAATGTGACATTTTACCAGCTGAAAATCTGACAGTATTATTACAAATAACTTTTTATATAATACTATGATATTTCCTATGAAGAAATTAAAATGCAATTAAAATAGAAAAATATTTGTGTTTAGAGTCTGGAACTTGTTTTCTTTATTTCTCTTGGAAGACAGTCTATTTTTTTTTTTTTACATAATTTTTTTACTGTTGTTATTGTTGGTACAGGTTCTTACTATGTTGTCCAGGCTGGTCTTGAACTCCTGGGCTCAAGCAATCCTCCTGTCTCAGCTTTCTGAGTAGCTATATACTAAAATTTTACTAGGGACTTGATTCATGAAATTCCCATTTCAGTCTCAGCTCCCTTTCATACCAAAAAGTAAGCTCTATGATTCAAATCTAGGGTTGTGTTTAAACACAATTCAATCATTTTCGTCAACTAATTATTTACTAGTTAATATACTATCAAGTGAAAACAGTTAAGCCTTACATGTTTTGAAGGCTACCCCATAAGATTTGCATTTCCACACGCACTAGAATCACACTTCTTAGACAATGGTATGATAAATTATCATACATTTTAATTCATCAGCACAAATATATATTTTTAGTTTAATACATAAAATTGCTCCTTTAGCAATGATTGCTACAGAAAGCTAAAAATGACAATAGAGTTCAATAATATGACAAGAAAAAATAGGAAGCAGAAATATAAAATCACATTAAAACATACTAAACACTGAGGAACACTGGGGAAAATATAAAACAACTGAACATCTTCTTATAGTCAAGTCAAGCTTATATTATAGATGTTATAATCAACTACTCTTCCACTGTCAAATATTAATCATTCAAATAAAGAACATCAGAGAAAGAATCTTACTTGAAACACTTTGAAGATGTTTTCTAAACTCATACAGTAGCCACTTACCACTTGAAGCAATGCGAGGTAGCCAGCGCCAACGTTATCAAAGTTTACTTTCACGTTTTTCCACCGAGCTTGCTTGCCAAGAGCCTGACAATCGCTAAAATTGTTGACTTCACTAACTTCAAACATGTTACCCGTTGTCGTGTTAACACAGTGGTAGAACTTGCCAGCAAACAAATTCACACCCATGATGCTAAAGATCAGCCAGAAGATGAGACAAACCAACAGCACGTTCATGATAGAGGGAATCGCTCCTATAAGAGCATTCACCACCACCTAAAAGAGGAAATGAAGAGAAAGCAGCTTATGAATTGTTAAAATGGAAACAATTTATTTATTTAGTGTTATTTAGTACTAATATGCATTTGGAAGAGTTAAATAAAAAGATAGGTAGACACATTGTTCCGTCTAATATTCTCTAGAACATATATCATAAGGGAAAACAAACAGTGACACAACTAAAGAGCTAAGGACTTAAGGAAAGTAAAATATGCCAAAGTGTGAAAAGAAATAAACAAAAACCTGATATAATAAGATGAAGTCAGAAAATGTTTGTATGCTGGAGAAAAAAGAAAAAAGAAGATGCATTAAATATCAACAGAAGAAATAATCATCTTTCTGTAAAACATTTAAATTTTCAAGAATGAATGATGATTTGAAAGAGTGAGTAAACAAACCCTTCACAAATAAAGTATAGAAAATGCCTTAAATCAGTTCCCTCAGATCAAATTTACCTTTTTATGACTATGAAGAATAAGATTAGGAATTTAAGTTACTTTTTTCCTATTGCTAAATCTCAACAAAAAGTATATTAAATTAGGAAAAGAGGTGGAATTTATCTCTGGACATAACACTATTGAATATATTACCATTATTATTACTCCATAATCTCTTACATGTTCACTTTGGGGCACATGCTACTTTATCAACCCCAAGCTGACCTATTTTGTGAAAGGGAAATTTAGTCACTTTGCCTCTCATTAAATTCAGAAAAGATTAAAATATATTTTGAAATCTTTAGGGAGGTCGACAGTAATTTTCTTATCCAATTTAAGGTAGTTTATATTGGACTATTCTGTTAAGCATTTATATTAAATGTAACTATTGTTTTATTTTAAAACATTGTAAACATTATTGTAGAAATCCATACCAAGGAATTTTATACTGATATCAAACCTGAAATCTAAAATTGTAAAAATTTCCTGTTACTTGAATTTTATTCCTTTTAGAAATTAAGCCGTATATATAATATTTGCTTGGATTTTTCCTACTGTGTAAAATGATGTCTATACCTACACAAGTTCTTTTATCTTCAAATAAATGCATAATACATTATCATATTTTATAGCTAAAATATTAATTCTGCCATATTACTGAATTAAAGATTCTAAATTTAAGGATATTTTTTAGATTAGAGCAAATACATAAGTTTTAAATTTTATTCAATTGCTATCTTCCCTCAAATAGGAACCATCAATATGAAATCATGAAACTGATGAGGGCTTACATAATATCAGTAATGGTAAAGATTGGTGTGAAAAGAACTTGAAATTGTATAGTGATTTTTATGAATTTTATCTTGTAACTTTCTTTAGTAGTAGCAATGAAAGAAAACTACAATGTAACAACCAAGTATTTCTTTGATTATAATGCTTCTGGAAAGTCTGGAGAGTGGTTTCATTCTCCCTGATGAATGAATTTTGAAGTCAAGGCTGAAGAGTGTTTTTACTGCCCCAAATAAACCACCTCCTTACAAAAAAGCCCTATGGCCTAGAAGAAACTCAATATCCATGTGTATTTGAGTGCCAGATAAACAAAATTGGCCTTAGTGTTAAATAGTGCTGAGAGGGGTGTGGCAAGTGGGTGTGTATCTATATCTATTTTATGTTTACATACATAATATACATATTAAAGAAGAGAGCTGGAGAGGAAAATACAAGTGCTATGGAAAAAGTGAAACTCATTCAGCATGCTCACTTAAAAGGGAGATCTATAAAACAAACTCTGCGGGTTGCCTGAAATGCTTACTTAATTATCCTAACCTCCTGCTTTGGTTGCTTAGACTATATAGATTTCGTTAGAGGCTACACTTTTTATTACTGATATTAATCTAATAAGTAAAGCACACAAAACCATTTTACCTTTCATTCATTACTACTAAGTTTAGAGAAATCAAACTATTAAGAGGAAGAAAACTCCCCTTCTAGGATGAATGTCAGTAGTCAGTCATCATTTCAATGTGTGTAAGCAACAAAAAGAAATAACTGGCAGCACATAGTTTTAGGGCATTTTGCAAATAGCCTTGAACTGTGACCAGAAGACATGGATTCTAGTTTTAGTTTTGCCACAAATGATTTCTGAGGGCCTGTTTAAATGCACTTTTGTTTCAGGAGCCTAGGCTTTGTGATCCCTAAGATTCTTGCTTTAATTCTGTAATTCCATAAACTATGTGTCAGAAGAGTATGGCATGCTTCTGTAGCTAAATCAATATCTACATGTAATTTTGACATGAATAATTAGAGACCTTTTATTCTTCTTACCCTCATGCCTTCAAACCGGGATAAGGCTCTTAGAGGTCTTAAAGCTCTTAGTGTCCGTAGGGATTTGATGGCACCAAGTTCTGAGTAGCCAAGAGCAGTGGCTACCAAGCTTACCAAAGAAACCTACAAAAGGAAAAAATATTAATTAGTGCACCAAGGAACAAACTGTTGATTAAAGGCATAGGAGCTGGTGTCTACTTAGTACTGACCAAATACAGGTTTGGATATACCTTGGCAACCTTCGTCTTCCAGATAGTGGGATCATCTCACATTGTCAGCCTCATTTCACATTCTTGCTTTTCTTATCAGTGAAACTGGGATGCCTGCCTATATTTATAAGCATTTATAAACACTTCCAGCTAGATATTTTACAACATGGATCCCTTTTCAACTGGTAATTTCAGATTTAGTTCAAAAGCCAGATCCTTCATATTATTGATTAGAAATCATGTTTCTTCCTTAAGAATCCTAGAAGATGATGTTGGGAAAACCCTATCAGACATTGGTCTAGGCAAAGAATTTTTGAGGAAGATCCCCAAGGCAATAGCCACTGCAGCAAAAATAAACAAATGGGATCGGATCAAATTAAAAAGTTTCTGCACAGCCAAGGAAACTATCATTAGAGGAAATAGACAACTCACAGAATGGGAGAAAATATTTACTCTCTACGCTTCTGATAAAGGTCTAATAACAAGAATCTATCTAGAACTTAAAAGAATTAACAAGAAACAATCAAACAGCCCCATCAAGAAATGGGCAATGGAAATGAACAGAAACTTCTCCAAAGAAGACAGAATAATGGCCTGGAGACATATAAAAAAAATATTCAACATCTCTAATCATCAGAGAAATGCAAATCAAAACCACAATGAGATACCACCTAACCCCAGGGAGAATGGCCTGTATCAAAAAATCCCCAAACAACAAATGCTGGCGAGGATGTGGAGACACAGGAACACTCTTACACTGCTGGTGGGACTGCAAATTAGTGCAACCTTTGTGGAAAAGAATTTGGAGATACCTCAAACAGCTAGAAATGGAAATACCATTCAACACTGCAATAGCATTGTTGGGTATCTACCCAAAAAGAGCATAAGACATTCTATTATAAAGACATCTGCACCCGAATGTTTATCGCAGCACAATTCACTATTGCAAGGTCATGGAAATAACCCCAGCACCTGTCAATTCAGGAGTGGATAATTAAAATTTGGTATATGCTCACAATGGAATATTACTTAAGTCTAAGAAACGACAGTGAGCTAGCACCATGTATGCTATCCTGGATTAAGCCTGTTATCCAAAGTGAGGTGACACAAGACCAGGAAAATGGGCTCCACATCTACTCGCCATCAAATTGGTACTGAGTGACTAAAACTATGGTGCTCAAATGGTGGCAGTACTCACCAGGAATTTGGAGGTGGGGGGGAGGTGGGGAGACCCACATCCTAGGGATATGGTGGGAATTGGGGGGGGGAAGGGAATACCTGTAACCCTTCTTAGGGAGAGGCAAAGACATACAATGTAACCAAAATGTCAAAAAAGAAAAAAAAAATTTATCAGGTGGTGGGCAGGTAGGGGGGAGGGGAAAGGTGGATATTTACATAATGGGTGCAGTGCCCACCACCTGGGGGTTGGACACGGTTGATACTCTGGCATGGCGGGGGGGGGGAGTGGGTTGGTGGCAGGGGCAATATATGTAACCCTAACAATATCTGTACCCCCATAATATAATGAAATAAAAGGGAAAAAAAAAGAAATCATGTTTCTTTCCTGAATTTATATAGTGTCTTGGTTATGTGTGCAGGAAGCATTTACCATGTAATAGAGTTCATTGGTTAGATATCTTCTCTCCCAGGTCATATAAGCTTTTTATCAGCTGGAATGAAATATTCTTCTCTTAACATATCTAACACTGGTTGGATATCAATATGTGTTGGATAAATAAATAAGGGGAAATTTTTATCCAGAAAGTTTTTATCCAAACTATTGTACTTATGATTTAGAATATAGTATCTCTCGTTCAGAGTGATCATACATCTTTCTGATACAGGTTAAGGATCCCTAATTTGAAAATCTGAAATCCAAAATGCTTCAAAATCTAAATATTTTTGAGAAACAAAATGATGCTCAAAAGAAATGCTCATTGGAACATTCTGAATTTTAGATTTTTGGATTAGGGATGCTCAATTAATATAATGCAAATATTTCAAAATCCGAAAAAACCCCAAAATCCAAAATACTTCTGGTCCCAAGCATTTTTAATAAGGGATACTCAACCTGTATTTATACATTTGCCAAATTTTACTTAAATTTATGAAAGAGTAAACAAGACATGTCTTTTTTTTTTTTTTTTTTTGAGAGGTGGGTCATGAAATTATTTGCTTTGATATTCTTTATATAAATCCCAGAAAGTACTGTCACTATTCCATTTCATTGGTGAGGAAGTTGAGTGCCATCCCTGCACACATACCAAAAAAATAACAAGGTTGCACAGCTAATAAGAGGTGGAGTTGGCAACTTGAACTCAAATGATTTGATTTCTAAAGCATATCTTAACCTTTTTGCATCCATTATAAAAAATTTGTTCTTCATTTGAATCATAGAGCATACAAAAATGATTTGAATGATCATCTTCTCAGATCTTGCAAGGATGGTAAATAAGTAGTGCTTTCCTTGATGCATAGGAGAGAAGTTAATTCATTATATCCATTGGATGGCTTAAGGGCATTAGGGTTTAATTTCCGGTGAAAAAAGCTATTGAAAATGGATCTAAGTGAATTCTCCCAACAACCTTGAGAAGTAGGATGAAATCAATGATCTGCCCAAAAAGCATGATAAAAAGGGTGACACCAAAACCAGAACCTAGGCTTTGAAGGCATATGAAGTCACTGTCCCCTCATTATTTAATTTAGCATACATCTCACAGAATTGAACAGAATAATATATGACTTGAATGTTAAACTTGATTAGTGGCAGGATAATTTATTAAGCTATTCATTTCTGTCTTGGGTTCGCTGGTACAGAAGATTGGAAAGATTGGAAAGGTTATTAGAGAACACGCAGGCTTCTATGTTCTGGGCTCCTTTTCCTCAGGAGGCATTAACAACTTTTTTATGTTTCTGGAATTACCACCTGAAGACTTCCCTCATCTTGCCAGCTAAGTCCTTTATTTGAGAATTGGGATTTGTGGCTGCAAATTAAGGAAGCTCATGCTTTGAAAAGAAAAGAAAGGTAATATCCAGAACCAGTGGGTGCTGGAAGGATAGGAAGTTGTGGGTTCAAAGGCTGGGAGCATTATCTGCTTATAACCACCCTACATGGGCATGGAATCGTGTGTTGTTAGTGAAGCTGCGCATTAGTGAAACTGCACTTTGTTAATGGACCTCACGTCCCAGACAACAAAATGCCAAAGTTGCAGCCATGATATGTTGAGGATTGGAGGAACTCACTACCATTTTTCTAGACTGCTCATGTCATAGAGTTACTACAAGCTCCAAAAAGGAGATCATAAAAACTGCCTGACATTAGATTTCCCAAACTTGTGCTGGGAGCTGCTGCATAATTGATTTATTTAGGAAAATAAAGGGAATTTAAAAGATATGTTAGGATTTGGGGAAAATTTGTTGCAGATTAGCTTAATTAAGTAACTTAAAATGATTATTTTTTCCTTGCAAATTACTCAATAAGATCAAAATCCAGGCCGGGCGCGGTGGCTGACGCCTGTAATCCTAGCACTCTGGAGGCCAAGGCAGGCAGATTGCTCGAGGTCAGGAGTTCAAAACCAGCCTGAGCAAGAGCGAGACCCCGTCTCTACTATAAATAGAAAGAAATTAATTGGCCAACTAATATATATAGAAAAACTTAGCCGGGCATGGTGGCGCATGCCTTTAGTCCCAGCTACTCGGGAGGCTGAGGCAGCAAAATTGCTTGAGCCTAGGAATTTGAGGTTGCTGTGAGCTAGGCTGATGCCACGGAACTCACTCTAGCCTGGGCAACAAAGCGAGACTCTGTCTCAAAACAAAACAAAACAAAACAAAAACAAAAACAAAAACAAAAAAAAACCAAAATCTGATCAATTATATATATATATATTGAGACAGAGTCTCGCTCTGTTGCCTCGGCTAGAGTGCATTGGTGTCATCATAGCTCACTGCAACTTCAAACTCCTGGTCTCAAGTGATCCTCCTGCCTTGGCCTCTCAGAGTGTTAGGATTACAGGCATGAGCCACTGCACGTGGACAATGTTTTTTTCTGGTTTACATTTGACTTGTAACTTAATATTCTTTTAAGGCAATTTTGAAATAAGATCTTTCGAATCTATTTATAAGCAGAGGTAGCTCCTTGCAAAAATTTGCAACATACTGAAAAGTTAGAAGATAATTTCCTATATTAGCAGGGTGATTTACCATTTATAATAATCTTTTTTATTCATTATCTTTGTATCTCAGAATGGTCAAATGACTAACCCAAGAAAAGACAGAAATAGGCAAGATATAACTGGAATTTAGGTCTTCTTTTTTTTAAAGTCTAGTGTTTTCACCTCAGCGAATTTGTCCCTTATCTTTCAATACAGAGTGTTTTCATCTTCATCTCTTTTGTGTTAAACACAAAAGGAACTCTTAATGTGTGCAAAAGGTAACAGACATCCATTTAAAAAAAAACTGAACTTTTAGTATTAATTTACACAAATCTAGGTACTGAAACTCACTTATACAGTGAACAAATGAAAAAGTATGTGCTGGAAGTTTCAGGGATGATTCATTTGTCATTTGCACCTTTCCACATTCCTATGGCCACTCAGACTGAGAAAGAAAAGAATAATGTAAGTAAGGGATTCCATGGTTCTGAAGAACAGCCTGGAAATCCTGTGATTGGTTCATTAGCCAAGCAATAGGAATTTCTTTCCCTTAAAAATGGCTAAAGGTAATTTTTAAAGTTAGACGTGAACAATTAAAAGATAAAAACCACATATCACCTCCATACAGTCTAATCTAAAAGCTTGTAGAATTTATGATGGTGAAATCTAGAAGCATTCTCATGAAAAGCAGATAAAAAAATATGCTCATCACTGAGATTATTATTTAACAATTTCTGGGTAAAAGAAGAGTTGTAAGAATTGA